GGTCTTTCATGAGACTGCAGTGAAGATGTTGGTCAAAGATGCAGCATTTTGAAAGTTTGCCTGGAGCTGGAGGATCCACTTTCCATTTTCAAGATGGTCACCTGCCATGGCTGCTGGCTGAGGGGCTCAGTTCCTTACCATGTGGGCTTCTCCAAAGTGCTGCTCACAACAGTCTGGATTCCCCCTGAGAGAGAGAAAGAGAGTAAGACAGGAGCCACAAAGCTTTTTATGACCCAGTCTCAGAAGTTGCACTCTTCTCCTTCATTCTGCTCATTGGCAGCAAGCCACCAAGTTCGGTCACACTCAAGAGGAGAGGAATCTGACTCCTACTCTTCAGTTTCAAAGAATCTGTGGATATTTTAGAGCTACCCCACCGAGGGTATCTGTGGGACTTCCTCGACTGTTGGCTCCATGGGCCTGAGGACCTGAAAACTAGTCTAGGCTGCAGACATAGGTTTGGGATAGAAGTGAAAATATGAGGTGTTTAGAAAGACAGAAAGCTGCAGTCAGAGAGGTCAGGGCTTTAGAGCAATAGCAGTTGCCCTGTATGCTGAGTCCAAGGGTGTGACTTGAGGCCGTGCCTCAAGCGTCAGGTTGGGCCATGTGAAATAACTGATCTTGTAAGTCAAAAACAGTAGAGTGTCAGGAGTTTCATATGGGTAAGCCTACCGAAACATTATTGAAAGTCACTAAATTTGAATTTCTGAACTTGGTTTCAGGCTGAAGAACCTTGCTTTTATATCCTCTGTCTTTCTAACAAAAGGACCGGCCAGGTTCCTCCTTTCGCTTGTTTCTTGGCGTTCATCTCACCTCACCACTTGTTTGATTTCAGAAAGCTGGCTGTCATGTTGGGAAAAGTGGGTCTGGTCCACCTTGGTCACTGGAAGATTTTCTTTGAGCATTCCCTATATCAGCCAGGTCAAAATCCATCCCCTCTGTGTGGCCGTCAGTCTATGTGATTGAAATCTAGGAGCTATCACTCCTAAATTGAGAGTCAGAAATAAAATTTATAAATCATTTCCTTAACAAACATATTAAAAATGATTACTTTTAAATGGCAGCCAAATGTAACTCTGATGCCTGAGCCAAAGTTAGCACACATACTTCTGAGAGCTCTTGCTAAGCTGTTTATTGCATTTGCTGGAACATTGCACCAACAGGAGGAAAGGCTTCCTCATGGTCCAGAGACTAAATGCAAATCATCCCAAAGAATTACCATAATATCCTTTATATCTTATAATTTTATGGATAGATGCAAGCAGCTTCTTTTTGTCAGTTAAAGGCTTTATGAATGGCATGGAAAATGAGTACCCCATGGCCAGCATCTGTTAACAAGATGAACAGCCTGGGCACACTATTTCATAACTCCCACTGGCTCCCAGAGGTATAATTAGGGTTGAATTTTTCATGAGCACGAACATCATATTCTTTGTCTACTATGCTGTGCTTTCAGCTTGACTATTTCCAGTGCTCTGCTTAGGAAAACAAAAAAGGAGAGGAGAGAGTCATGTCTTCAATGAATGGAAGTGATTCTGGAGCCACCTGTAAGCGTCCCCCAGGTTCCTACCATGTTGCTGGGACATCTTTTAGATACAGCCCTTCCTGACCAGGTCTGCCCACCCTGGCTCACACTGAGGTTGGATGGAGACTCAGCACAGTCTCCTGGAGCTGAATCTCCTTAGCAGGACTTTAAGGTTTTGAAAGTCGAAAAAAAAATAGGAAAAATCCCTTTTTTGCTTTTTGACATTAATTTTTTTACACATGTTTAGTCCTAATAGATTTGCTTAGTCCATAAATTTTTAAGTCATTAAAAAAAGTGACATGACTGTAATTTTTTTCCTGAACCTAACTTGTTCTTTTTCTGGCTTACTCAGTTGGATGATGCCTGGTCTTATTTGTAGTTGTGTTTGAATGCTTTGTCAATGAACTTCATCAGCCATTGCCCCCAGAAGAATCTTCCTAAAATATGAACCTAATCATGCCATCCCCCTGCTTAAAACCTCTCAGAGGTTTCCTGTGCCTACAGAAGGCAGTCCAAGCATCCCCACAGGGTCTGTGGAGTCTCCACGATTTGTTCCTGATTGGTCTCCATCCACACTTCCTGCCTCGCCCACAATAGGCAACCCACCTTCCTGCCACTTACAATTCTTTCATATGACTTAAAATTCTCCAAATGTGCTTTTCTTTTATACAATCCTAGAACACAATTTCCCCTAATTCTCCAGCTGGCTACAAGAATACTTCAAAAGTTAGGCCAAGTTTTGATAAAATGGGTAAGTTTCAACCCAAAGGCCAGCTTATTATTTAATGGGGAAATACTGAAGACATTCTGCTAAAGATAGGAACAAGGCTGTGAAGTAACTACTGCCACTGCTCTTTAGCAGCAAAAAGATAAAATTTCTAGGAATAAATTAAACTAGAAATGTGTAAACTTCATGTGTACAACCCTTAAACACTCCCGCAAGTTAAAAAAAAAAGGACGTAAGCCAATGAAAATGCAATGTAAATGTACTCTTGGATAGGAAGATAGCATCATAAAGATTTTAATCCTGTTCAAATTATTGCAAACCATAACTTAAAATTCAGATACAATTTTTAAAAGATTGTTACAATTTAACTAAATACATTTTTCAAGTTTTTGCATGACAAAATAAAGCAAACACTAAAGGCAAAGTCTACAGACACGATAAACTAAGACAAATTATTTACAACGTGTATTGGATATAAAGGCTAATCTCTCTAATAAATAACTTAGATGAAATGGATGAATCCCCCCACAAAGACAGGAACTACTGAGATTGACTCAAGAAGAATTAGAAAGTTAGAACAGACCTATAAGAACTAAAGAGATTCAATTATTAACTTTTAAAAAACTACCTATGAATAAAAATCTAGACTCTAGATGGCCTCACCAAATAATTATACCAGACACTTGAAAAAATGCCAATTTTTCACATATTGGTCGAAAATACAGAAGAGAAAGGAACACTTACCAGCTCATTCTGAGGGCAGTGCTACTCTGATATCCAAATCAGGCAAAGACATAACAAGAAAAAAATAAAGACCAATATCTTTTATGAATATAGATATGAGTAGTCCCAGCCAAATACTAGCAAACTGAATTCTGGAACATATAAGAAGTATTCTATACCATGAAAACATGGGATTTATCCCAGATAAGGTTGTTTAAACATATAAAAATCATCACTGCATTACTCCATATTGGTAGAATGGAAAATAAAAAAACACATGACAAAACCCAACACACCTTGATAAGAAGAACATTGAACTAAAAATAGAATAGAATGTCTTCAACCTGATAAAGAACAACTATGAAAACCCCACAGCTAGCATCATGCTTAATGGTGAAAGACTGAAATCTTTCCCCATAAGATTGGGAACAAGACAGCTGGGCCACTCTCACCAAATCTATTTAACACTGTTCTAGCCAGGACAATATAGCAAGAAAAAGAAATTAAAAACATCGAAATTGGAAAGGAAGAAGTAAAACTACCTCTACCTGCAGATGACATGACCTTATATATAGAAAATCCTGTGGAACCCACAATGAAACTATTGGAACTAATAAAAGAGTTCAGCAAGTTTTCAGGATACAAAACCAGTATTAAAAGTCTACTATATTTCCATATATTTCATGTGTTTCTGCAAAGATATGAACACTCTAAAAATTGAAATTAAGAAAATAATTCCACTTGCAATAGCATAAAAATAATAAGATATGTAGGAATAAATTTAACAAAAGTTCAAGACACATGCACTGGAGACTATAAACATTTCTGAAGGAAATTAAAGAGTTCTCAATGAATGGAAAACCATTGCATGATCATGGGTTGGAAGACTGCGTATAGTTAAAATGGCAATACTCCTTAAACTGATCAGCAGATGCAATGCAACTTTATCAAAAATTGTAGCTGGATTTTAAAAATTATTAAGGTATCATGATATACAGTCTTACAAAGGTATCACATGAAAAACTTTGTGGTTACTACAGTCACCCATATTATCAAGTCCCCCCTACATCCCATTGCAGTCACTGTCCATCTGCATAGTAAGATGCCACAGAGCCACTACTTGTCTTCTCTGTGCTACACTGTCTTCCTTGTGACCCCCCACACACTATGTGAGCCAATCACAATGCTCTTCAATCCCCTTCTCCCTCCCTCCCCAACCACCCTCCTCCACACATCCCCTTTGGTAACCACTATTACCTTCTTGGGTTTTGTGAGTCTCCTACTGTTTTGTCCCTTCAGTTTTGCTTTGTTGTTATACTCCATAACTGAGGGAGATCGTTTGGTATTTGTCTTTCTCCGCCTGGCTTATTTCACTGAGCATAATACCCTCTAGCTCCATCCATGTTGTTGCAAATGGTAGGATTTTTTTTCTTATTATGGCTGAATAATATCCCATTGTGTATATGTACCACATCTTCTTTATCCATTCACCTACTGATGGACAATTAGGTTGCCTCCATTATCCTGGCAACAGTGAATAGTGCTGCAATAAACATAGGGGTGCATATGTCTTTTTGAATTTGGGGTCTTGTTTTCTTTGGGTAAGTTCCTAGGAGTGGAATTCCTGGGTCAAATGGTATTTCCCCTTTTAGTTTTTTGAAGAACCTCCGTAACTCTCTCCACAATGGTTGAACTTATTTACATTCCCACCAACAGTATAGGAGGGTTCCCCTTTGTCCACATCTTCACCAGCATTTGTTGTTCCTTGTCTTTTCCGTGTTGGACATCCTAACTGGTGTGAGGTGATATCTCATTGTGGTTTTAATTTGCATTTCTCTGACGATTAGTGATGTGAAGCATCTTTTCATGTGCCTGTTGGCCGTCTGAGTTTCTTCTTTGGAGAACCGTCTGTTCAGATCCTCTACCCTTTTTTTAATCACATTGTTTGCTTTTTGGGTGTTGAGGTGTGTGAGTTCTTTTTTCCCCCCCAGTCTAATAAAATTTAATGGCTGTGCAGATTCTGGTCCCTCATTTCTGCTGCTCACAGGCCCACTGTTCTGGGGTCAGGGTTTTCTGCTCAAAGGCATGGATGTGCAGGAGTTCTTCCACTAGGCACGTGTTCACCACCAGCCAGTGTCTCTGAAGCAGCGGCTTCCCCTCGAACTTGGATGACACTACAAGGACTCGGAAGCTGGACACGGAATGATTAGAAGTTGTGTCCTCCACTTCCACGTGCTCGGCCTCCAGGTCCCACTGCAGTTTTTCCCGTAGGTACTGGGCACTGAGTTCCATCCCTGCTGCCCAGCGTGGGCAGCAGCCCAGCTGGGGTGAGGTGTGTAAGTTCTTTATATATGTCGGATGTTAGCTCCTTGTTGGATATGTCACTTACGAATATGTTCTCCCATACTGTAGGATGCCTTTTGTTCCACAGATGGTGTCCTTTGCTGTCCAAAAGCTCGTTAGTTTGGTGTAGTCCCATGTGTTCATTTTTGCTTGTTTCCCTTGCCAGAGGAGCTGTGTTCAGGAAGAAGTTGCTCATGCTTATATTGGGAAGATTTTTGTCTATGTTTTCTTCTGTGAGTTTTGTGGTTTCATGACTTACATTCAGGTCTTTGATCCATTTCAAGTTTACTTATGTGCATGGGGTTAGACTATAATTCAGTTTCATTCTCTTGCATGTAGCTGTCCAGTTTTGCCAACATCAGTTGTTGAAGAGGCTGTCATTTCCCCCATTGTATATCCATGGCTCCTTTATCATATATTAATTGACCATATATGGTTGGGTTTATATCAGGGCTCTCTAGTCTGTTCCATTGGTCTATGAGTCTGTTCTTGTGCCAGTACCAAATATTCTTGATGACTGTGGCTTTGTAGTAGAGCTTCAAGTTGGGGAGCATAAGTCCCCCAGCTTGATTTTTCCTTCTCAGGATTGCTTTGGCAATTCTAGGTCTTACGCAGTTCCATATGAATTTTAGAATAATTTGCTCTAGTTCATTAAAGAATGCTGTTGATATTTTGATAGGAATTGCATTGAATCTGCAGATTGCTTTATGTAGGATGGCCATGTTGACAATATTAATTCTTCCTAGCCATGAGCATGGCATGTGTTTCCATTTATTGGTATCTTCTTTAATTTCTCTCAAGAATGTCTTGTAGTTTTCAGAGTATAGGTCTTTCACTTGCTTGGTTAGGTTTATTCCTAGGTATTTTATTCTTTTTGATGCAATTGTGAATGAATTGTTTTCCTAATTTCTCTTTCTGCTAGTTCGTTAGTTATAGGAAAGCTGCAGATTTTTCTGTGTTAATTTGGTATCCTGCAACTTTGCTAAATTCAGTTATTAGTTCTAGTAGTTTTGGAGCAGATTCTTTTGGGTTTTTATGTACAACATCATGTCATCTGCAAACAGGGACAATTTGACTTCTTTTTTACCAATCTGGATGCCTTTTATTTCTTTGTGTTGTCTTATTGCTGTGGTTAAGACCTCCAGTACTACACTGAATATAAGTGGGGAGAGTGGGCGTCCTTGTCTTGTTGATCTTAAAGGAACAGCTTTAACTTTTCACCATTACATATGATGTTTGCTGTGGGTTTGTCATATATGGTCTTTATTATATTGAGGTACTTGCCCTCTTACCCATTCCATTGAGAGTTTTTATCATGAATGGATGTTGAATTTTGTCGAATGCTTTCTAGCCTCTATGGAGATGATCATATGATTTTTGTCCTTTTTATTGATGTGGTGTATGATGATGCATTTTCAAATAATGTACCATCCTTGCATCCCTGGAATAAGTCCTGCTTGAACATAATGGATGATCTTTTTGATGTATTTTTAAATTCGGTTTGCTAATATTTTATCGAGTATTTTTGTATCTATGTTTATGAGGGATATTGGTTGTAATTTTCTTCTTTTTTTTTTCAGTCACTGTCCATCAGCCTAGTAAGATGCTGTAGACTCACTACTTATCTTCTCTGTGCTGCACATCCCTCCCTATGCCCCCCCATATTATACATGCTAATCGTAAGGCCCCCTTTCTTTATCCCTGCCCTTATCCCTCCCTTCCCACCCCTCCTGCCCAGTCACTTTCCCTTTGGTAAATGTTAGTCCATTCTTGGGTTCTGTGATTCTGCTGCTGTTTTGTTCCTTCAGTTTTTCTTTGTTCTTATACTTCACATATGAGGGAAATCATTTGGTACTTGTTTTTCTCCACCTGGCTTATTTCACTGAGCATAATACCCTCTGGCTCCATCCATGTTGTTGCAAATGGTAGGATCTGTTTATTTCTTATAGCTGAGTAATATTCCATGGTATATATGTACCACATCTTCTTTATCCATTCATCTACTGATGGACATTTAGGTTACGTCCATTTCTTGGCTATTATAAATAGTGCTGCAATAAACATAGGTGTGCACCTGTCTTTTTCAAACTGGAGTGCTGCATTCTTAGGGTAAATTCCTGGGAGTGGAATTCCTGGGTCAAATGGTATTTCTATTTTGAGCTTTTTGCGGAACCTCCATACTGCTTTCCACAATGGTTGAACTAATTTGCATTCTCACCAGCAGTGTAGGAGGGTTCCCCTTTCTCCACAACCTCGCCAACATTTGTTGTTGTTTGTCTTTTGGATGGTGGCAATTCTTACTGGTGTGAGGTGATATCTCATTGTGGTTTTAATTGGCATTTCTCTGATGACAAGTGATGTGGAGCATCTTTTCATGTGTCTGTTGGCCATCTGAATTTCTTCTTTGGAGAACTGTCTGTTCAGATCCTCTGCCCATTTTTAAATTGGATTATTTGCTTTTTGTTTGTTGAGGTGTGTGAGCTCTTTATATATTTTGGATGTCAACCATTTATCGGATCTGTCATTTATGAATATATTCTCCCATACTGTAGGGGACCTTTTTGTTCTATTGATGGTGTCCTTTGCTGTACAGAAGCTTTTCAGCTTCATATAGCCCCACTTGTTCATTTTTGCTTTTGTTTCCTTTGCCTGGGGAGATGTGTTCATGAAGAAGTCGCTCATGTTTATGTCCAAGAGATTTTTGCCTTTGTTTTTTTCTAAGAGTTTTATGGATTCATGACTTACCTTCAGGTCTTTGATCCATTTTGAATTTACTTTTGTGTATGGGGTTAGACAGTGATCCAGTTTCATTCTCTTACATGTAGCTGTCCAGTTTTGCCAACACCAGCTGTTGAAGAGACCGTTATTTCCCCATTGTATGTCCATGGCTCTTTTATCATATATTAATTGGCCATAAATGTTTGGGTTAATATCTGGAGTCTCTATTCTGTTCCCCTGGTCTGTGGCTCTGTTCTTGTGCCAGTATTAAACTGTCTTGATTACTGTGGCTTCACAGTAGAGCTTGAAGTTGGGGAGCAAGATCCCCCAAACTTTATTCTTCCTTCTCAGGATTACTTTGGCTATTTGGGGTCTTTGGTGTTTCCATATCAGTTTTTGAACTATTTGTTCCAGTTAGTTGAAGAATGTTGTTGGTAATTTGATAGGGATGCATCAAATCTGTATATTGCTTTGGGCAGGATGGCCATTTTGACTATATTAATTCTTCCTAGCCAGGGGCATGGGATGAGTTTCCATTTGTTAGTGTCCTCTTTGATTTCTCTGAAGAGTGTCTTATAGTTTTCAGGGTATAGGTCTTTCACTTCCTTGATAAGGTTTATTACTAAGTATTTTATTCTTTTTGATGCTATTGTGAATGGAATTGTCTTCCTGATTTCTCTTTCTATTAGTTCATTGTTAGTGTATAGGAAAGCCACAGATTTCTGTGTGTTAATTTTGTATCCTGCAACTTTGCTGTATTCCGATATCAGTTCTAGTAGTTTTGGAGTGGAGTCTTTAGGGTTTTTTTTTATGTACAATATCATGTCATCTGCAAATAGTGACAGTTTGACTTCTTCTTTATCAATCTGGATTCCTTGTATTTCTTTGTTTTGTCTAATTGCCATGGCTAGGACCTCCAGTACTATGTTGAATAACAGTGGGGAGAGTGGGCATCCCTGTCTTGTTCCCGATCTCAGAGGAAAAGCTTTCAGCTTCTCACTGTTCAGTATGATGTTGGCTGTGGGTTTATCATATATGGCCTTTATTATGTTGAGGTACTTGCCCTCTATTCCCATTTTGCTGAGAGTTTTTATCATGAATGGATGTTGAATTTTGTCAAATGCTTTTTCAGCATCTATGGAGATGATCATGTGGTTTTTGTCTTTCTTTTTGTTGATGTGGTGGATGATGTTGATGGATTTTCGAATGTTGTACCATCCTTGCATCCCTGGGATGAATCCCACTTGGTCATGGTGTATGATCCTTTTGATATACTGTTGAATTCTGTTTGCTAATATTTTATTGAGTATTTTTGCATCTACATTCATCAGGGATATTGGTCTGTAATTTTCTTTTTTGGTGGGGTCTTTGCCTGGTTTTGGTATTAGGGTGATGTTGGCTTCATAGAATGAGTTTGGGAGTATTCCCTCTTCTTCTATTTTGTGGAACACTTTAAGGAGAATGGGTATTATGTCTTCTCTGTATGTCTGATAAAATTCTGAGGTAAATCCATCCGGACCAGGGGTTTTGTTCTTGGGTAGTTTTTTGATTACCGCTTCAATTTCTTTGCTAATTTTCTTTTTTTGTGTTGTCTTTGCCTGGTTTGATATTAGAGTGATGCTGGACTCACAGAATGAGTTTGTAAGTATTCCGTCCTCTTCTGCTTTTTGGAAAACTTAGGAGAATGGGTATTAGGTCTTCACTAAATGTTTGGTAGAATTCAATGGTGGAGCCATCTGGTATAGGGATTTTGTTCTTAGGTCGTTTTTTGATTACCAATTCAATTTAATTTCTGGTAATTGGTCTGTTCAAATTTTCTGTTCCTTCCTGGGTCAGCCTTGGAAGATTGTAGTTTCCTAGAAAGTTGTCCATTTCTTCTAGGTTACCCAATTTGCTAGCATGTAATTTTTCATAATATTCTCTAATAATTCTGTGTATTTCTGTGGTGTCCATAGTGATTTTTCCTTTCTCATTCCTGATTCTGTTTATGTGTATAGATTCTTTTTTTCTTGATAAGTCTGGCTAGAGGTTTATCTAGTTTTTTATTTTCTCAAAGAACCAATTAATCTCCTGCTTTCATTGATTTTAATGTTTTATTCTACTCAATTTTATTTATTTGTGCTCTGCTCTGCTCTTTGTCTCTCCTTCTAGTGACTTTGGTCCTCACTTGTTCTTCTTTTTTGTAGTTTCAGTGTGATTGTAGACTGTTCGTATGGGATTGTTTTTCTTTC